TCAACAGCACCAGGATCTCCTGGTGAAGTAGTACAAGTAATATAAAACTGATACAAAGAAGCTGCACTCTGTCCTTATCTGTCTGGTCGAGTCATTCCTGGCCGCGTGGGCATCATCATTGGGGGCCCAGGCATCATTGGCATGTGGCCTCCCATGGGTGGTCTCATTCCAGGAGCAGGTCCCACGGGCATCATCCCAGGAGGAGGAGGACCCATCATTGGCATCATAGGAGGTCCCCCATATGGGGTGCTGGCATCATACCAGGGAGAGGAGGGCCAGGGAGACTGGGTGGAGGTGGGATCATGGCACCTGTTGGAGGAGGCGCAGAGAATGGAGTAGGAGGTATCTTTCCTTGTTGAAATGCAGCCGTTGTTTTGTCAATTAGGCTCTGAGCCTGTTCTTCCATCCATTTTTGATAGTAATCTTTCACATTCTCTTTGTGTTTCCTGCCACTGCAATGTGTCTTTCTCACAGATGGCGAGTCATGAGTGAGGTACGTGTCGCAGTAGTCACAATAAAACTTAGGCATGATGATCCACACAGGCCGTTCACTGAACTCTGTAAATACCTTTCTTAAAAAACAAGTGGTAGCTATACATATTGGCCTTATAGACTCCATATGAAGGAGATAAACTACATCTGTGGAAAGAATCATTGGCAAAAATGCCAGCTGTCTAAACCAGGCCAGTGGTTAGACTGGAATAGACCATCACTGACCCATGTATGAGATCAAATTGAAGTTGAAAATGAGAACAAGGCTATAAAAACCAAAATACAACCTTGAGTTGATCCCACCTGAATTTAAACAAACAAACAAACTTGATTTGCTACATTGAAAACTAAAGACCAGATGAGCTGATGGAGGACATCAAGGATATCATCCATGAACAAAGTCAGGAGAAAGAATAAAACGGGTATCAGAAGAGACTGAAGGCAGGGCAGGGAGGAAAGTGTGCAAAAATGAATGAATGGAAATCCAAGTTCTCCAAAATCTCAATAATAAAAAGGAGACTGGAAAATCGCACTAGAATGCGCAGAGGCCAAGAAAGGAGGAAATGTTCATTAGCCTTATCTAAGAATCTGTGAGGTCCACGCCTCTGCTGGTGACAGATGTGGTAGCAAGCGTGGTGGTGATCTGGCTTGGTGCGACTGGGAGGTAGCAGTGCCACAGGCAAAGATGAAAGATGGCAGACAGAGAGGAGATTGAGATTGTTAACAGTTTCAGCTTACTTGGCTCCACAATCAAGACTCTTGGCACTAGGAGATAAAAGACGAATGGCATTTGGAAGATCTGCAATGAGAGATCTCTCCAGAGGCCTAAAGAGCAATGATGTCAATCTGGAGACTAGGGTGCTCTTGATCCAAGCCATGGACTAGACAATGACTAAGAATGGCAGAAGGAAGGGCGATGCCTTTGAGTTGTGGTGCTGGAGAAAGTGTTGAACATTTCATGGACTGCAAAGACAACAGAATAGGTCGGTCCTAATGAGGGTGAAACCAAAGCGAGGATTTTGAAGCTCTGTCTCGTATTTTGGACACATGGCCAGGAGGAACGAGTCCTTGGAAAAGGTGGACATCATGCTTGGAAGGGTGGAGGGACAGCACAGGAGAGGAAGACCCTGGACGAGATGGGCTGATAATGGGGGAAGGTTGGCTCAGAATAGGGCACAGTTCAGAGCTACTGTGCATAGGGTCGCTATGAGTCGATGATACATAATGACAGCAAGAGCAACAGGAGATACAGGGTATGGAGCCACGCAGCCCGCCTCAGGCACCCGAGGTCTGGCCCCTGTAACAGGACACAGAGCCGGGGTCCTCATCACGGTGGGCTCCTGAGCCGCACCCGCGGGCCCCAGTGCACACCGGTTCGAGACAGGCTGCAGACCTGGCCAGGCTCGCGTCGCCCTCTGGTGGCCGGCGCGGGATCGAGCCGCTCGCAGCCCCGCCCACCCTCACGCACTTCCGGAGCCGGTGCTTCCTCAGCCCGCTTGGCCGGGGCCCCGGGAGGGGGTGGAGTCAGGGGCCTGCCGCGCCCTCGGCCCGTCGCGGGGCGGGGTCACCAGCGGACGCGCAGGCGCGGTGCAGCCACTTCCATCCGGGTTCTCAGAGTCTCGGCGCCGGCGCCCTCAACAAAGATGGCGGCGCCCTGGTGGCGAGCCGCGCTGCAGGGAGGTCGGCGATGGAGGACGCTCAGCACCTCAGGTGAGTTGGTCGAGGGTCAGGGGCGCCCGGGGGACCTCCAGCCAGCGCCGCCGGAGCCGCCGGAGGGCCGGGCCGCTCGACAACAAGCTCTCTGCCCGCAGCCGCCTGCCAGCGGAGGACCGCCCCGTTGGGGCCGATGCCCAACGCGGACATCGACGTGAGCAACCTGGAGCGGCTGGAGAAGTACCGCAGCTTCGACCGCTACCGGCGCCGGGCGGAGCAGGAGGCGCAGGTCCCGCGCTGGTGGCGGACCTACCGGGAACACTTCGGGAAGAAGTCAGGTGCGGGGCGCCCCGCGGTCCCGGCCAAGCCCGCCCCAGATGACCACGCTTCCTCCAGGGGGGACCCCCGAATCCCGAGCTAGGGCACCCCGCGATCCCGGCCAGGCCCGCCCCAGATGACCACGCTTCCAGCATCGGGGACCCCCGGACCCCGAATCCCGAGCTAGGCTGTCCCTTGGTTCCCCTGCCTCGCTTACGTAGTAGTCCGGCCGCCCTGAAGCCCCAGTGTCCACTGCCTGTTACTGAACGCAAGGGGTTCTTTCCGCAGTCAGTCGCCAATAAGACAAACGGACTGCAGTATCCGTAAATGCACTTTATTACACGGATCTGGGAGACAGCGAGTCACCTCCAAGACTGTCTCCCCGTCTGGGAGTGGTCATGGCCTCATATACTAGGGGGAAACTCCAGCTCATTTAACAGGGCCCTTTTGTTAGCAAAAAGGGTAATTTCTGCACCTGAAAAGGACAGTTACCATCTATGCATCAGTAATTCAGGAAGGCCCCAGTTCTCTTCCAGGTAAACAGGTTAAGATACAGTTCACATATGACTGGAGAACCAGCTGCACCAGCATCTAGGAGAGATGCATTGCCTCTTCTGGTAAACAGATCAAACTACTCCACATGACTACAAACTACTTCACATGACTACAAACTACTCTACATGACTACAAACTACTCTACATGACTACAAACTACTCTACATGACTACAAACTACTCTACATGACTACAAACTACTCTGCATGACTCAAGACAGGAAACAGAATTTGGAGGCTAAGCATCTAGTTTTGCAGAAAAATAACTGTGGTTTTATAATTGGCACCTATATAGAGAATTAATTCTGAACTTATTAATGCCACCCTATCACCTCCACCAGAATGGAAGCTCCCAGCAGACAGACCCCACTGCCCAGCCCACTATGGGCCTGGGGACCCCATCATGGGGCAGCCTTAACCCTTAACGTATCCATCGTAGGTCAGTCCCTGTTTACAATGTGCATTTCTACCTCGCATCCACTAAAGCAGAATATACATTCAGACATCACCTGTGTACATCTATGTGAACTTACATAGATTACAAATACACCAAAGGAGCCCTGGGGGTGCACTGTGTGACATGCTGTTCACCATAAGGTCAGCAGTTCAAATCCACCAGCTGCTGCTTGGGACAAAGGCAGGACATCTCCTCCCATAAAAATGTACAGCCTTTGAAAGCCAGTGGACACTCAGGATATCCTGAGTGGGACTCGAGCCATGGAAGTGCATGGCCAGCTGTGTCCACCTGGGAGGGCCTGTTAAAACGTAAATCCTGACTCTTGTGTCTGGGATGGAAATGTAGTGAGCTGGAGGCCCTGGGACGCAGTTCCAGCCGGAGTCTCAGCAGCCTGATGGCTTAAAACCCTGGCAGCACCTCTGTGGGGGGACTTCTCTGAGCTTCAGTTTGCTTCACTTGCAAAGTCAAATCCTGTGCACATCACCGAGTCACGAGGACGAGAGGGGCAGCCACTGGGATTCTTAGCCCAGTGCTGTCCGTCCCGAGGCTCGGTGTGTGTGATGTGCGGTGTGAATGGATAAAGGTGGTAGGTTGCAGGTTCTCTAGGACCTCTCCACTCAGTGTGTTACCTGTTAGAAACGCGGGGGGTCAGGTCCCACCCCAGCCCGGTGCCTCAGCATCTGCGTCTTAACAAAGTTCCTGTGGCCTTTGTGTGCTGTAGCCCCCAAAAGGTATTGTGACACAGTGTTTCCAGGGCCAGGTGTGATGACTAAGGTGCAATCCCACGTGCCCCACAGAATGACCGACCTTGTGCCTCGATTTCCCATGACCCAGGCAGGTGGGGTGACTTGGTTTATTGGTTGTTGTCAGTTCAACTCACAGCAATCACTTGTGTCAGAACTGAGCACATAGGGTTGTCCATAGCTGATTTTTAGGATGCCACACCTTTCTTCCAAGGCACCCCTGGGTGAGCTTGAACTTTGAGAGTGTTAACTGTTGCACCACCCAGGGACTCTTTGTAGCCGGATTTAGGCTTTGAGAATCAGTGGCAAATTGTGCCTGGCCAGCTCCTTAGCTGGCTAGCTCGAGTCTGAAGGTGGTCAATTAAAGGCAAATCATTAGCAGCAGGACCTGAGGAAGTGACCACGTGGTCCTGACCCTACCCACTCAATAGATCCTGAAGGCCAGATTGACATCGGGCTGCCCCCACCCAAGGTCTGCCGGACCCAGCAGCTGCTGGTGCGCAAACAGTTCCTCCAGGCGCTCCGGACCAACGCAGAGGAAGAGCGGGCTGCCAGGCTCAGAACCGGTAAGTCTCCAGGGACTGGGTGTGTGGGGGACCCCCGCCCCACTCTGGGTCCGAGCCACCGTCATCCTTCCCAGCCCAGGTCCCCCTGGAGGCCGTGCAGGCCGAGTGGGAGAGGACCTGCGGCCCTTACCACAAGCAGCGACTGGCGGAGCACTACGGCCTCTACCGGGACCTGTTCCAGGGCGCCACCTTCGTGCCCCGAGTCCCCCTGCACGTGGCCTTCGCGGTGGGAGAGGAGGACCTGATGCCCGTGTACTACGGCAACGAAGTCACCCCAACTGAGGTGACCACATGCTCCCTCCTACCTGCCCAGGACAAGCACAGTCCCGCTGCTGGGGCTCCGTGGGCCGCTGAGCTAGGGCGGAGGGCGGTGGGCACGTCTTGGGGCTCTCCTCCTCCCTCTTGCTGGACAGTACCTGAAGTGCTGGTGGTGCAACGAGTAAGTTCTCAGCTGCTCACTGAGAAGGTGGGGGCTTAAGTTCCTCAGGGGGTCTGTGAGAGGAAGAAATTTGGTTCCAAAAGCTAATAGGCAAGGAAACGGTATGGGGCAGCTACACGAGCTGGATTCGACTTGCTCCAAGGCACTTAACAGCCGTGAACAACCACCACTGTGATGTTTTGTAAGAGTGAGATACGGAAGAAGAAGGTGTATTGACACTCCCCTCTCACTGGCCTGCTAGCACTCAGATCTGCAGGCCTCTGCCTGGGGGTCCTTTCTGGGAGGGGCTGCCAGGGCCTCCAGGTCAGCATGGGCTCTGCCTGTCAGACTCCCCCAGGCTCTGCCTCCCGTTTGTAGGGGTCTTTGTACAACACCGTCCCTAGCAAGGGTGACAGCTCCCATTTTCACCCCTTCAGGCCGCTCGTCCGCCAGAAGTGACCTATGAGGCAGATGAAGGCTCCCTGTGGACCTTGCTTCTCACCAACCTGGGTAGGTGTTTGGAGCACCTGGGAGGTGGGGGTGCTGGTGGAGAACTGCAGCCCAGCTCCATTTGTGGGGCGCAGGGGCCTGCACTCAAGGGATGTGTTTGTGGACAGATGGACACCTGCTGGAGCCAGATGCTGAGTATGTCCACTGGCTGGTGTAAGTCCCCTTGGGCATGGGACAGGCATGAGAGGTGGCCTCGTTTCCTGTCAGGAGGTCAGGACAGAAATCCCATCCTTGGCCCCACCTGGTTTAACCACGTACTCTCAAACTTGTTTCTTAACTCCTTGGGCCCATCTCCCCATCTTTAAAACCAGGGTGATCCCTTCCTCATTCTGAGGGTTGCTTCCTACTTTCTACATAACGAGAGATGATTCTAGGAGTGTGCCACCCCGGTGAACAGGAGGCAGGGTGCTCCCTGGAATGGTCCTTCACAGATCTTCCCTCCCACCAGGACAAACATCCCGGGGGCCCAGGTGACAGAAGGCCAAGAGACGTGTCACTATCTGCCCCCCTTCCCTGCCCGAGGTTCCGGCTTCCACCGCTTTGTCCTCCTGCTCTTCAAGCAGAATGGAACCATCGACTTCTCTGAGGACACCCGCCCCTCACCCTGGTAACCCAGCCTGGCCGCTCCCTACCTCTGTCGCTTGCCTTTCACTTGGAGACGCCGAGTGTGTAGGCCCTGTGGGCATCTTGGGGGGGGGGAGGCAGGGGTGAGCTACGGGGTCCTCTCCTGTTCCAGACATGTCTGTCTCTGACAGCTACCAGCTGGCTCGGCGGACCTTCCGCACCTTTGATTTCTATAAGAAACACCAGGAAGCCATGACCCCTGCTGGCCTCGCCTTCTTCCAGTGCCGCTGGGATGACTCAGTCACCCATGTCTTCCACAAGCTTCTCGGTGAGGCAGCATGGGGGCAGGAGGCTGTAGCTTCTGATGAGGGCCATGGACGGGGGGGGTGGCTCCTGGGGTGGAGGTTACAGCACAAGCCCACTAAGTAGGCCCCACCAGCAGCCCAGGGTCGGGGTCCACGTGAGGAACCCTCACCTTTGCCCACCCACTCTCCTTGCAGACATGCGGGAGCCCGTGTTTGAGTTTGTGTGGCCGCCCCCTTACCACCCCAGGCAGAAGCGGTTCCCCCACCGACAGCCTCTACGCTACCTTGACCGATATCGGGACAGTCACGAGCCCAGCTACGGCATCTACTGAGGGCCCGAGTGCCACCCCTGCGCAGGTGGGCTAGGCCTCAGGTCACCCTGCCAGGCCTCAGCTGGGGCTGGAAAGAGCAACAGAGGCACAGCTCCAGGGGCCCAGCTGTGTTCCCAGCCCGGCCTGAGGCCAGACCTGTGCAACCCTCCCAGCAGGCCTGGGATGGAGGACAGGAATAAAGAGTTTCTGTTCGCTAGTCAGAGTCTGCGTCCTGAGGACAGCCAGAGCCCCCTAGCTGGCTTGTTTTGCTTTCTGGATAGGGAGAGGCTACCTACCGCTGCTAGAGATAACATGGCAGAAAACCAAGGCAGGAACAGCTGTCTTCTGAGGAACCAGTGGACAGCCCCCTTCAGAAAGACAGTGTACTGCTTCCCTTCTGCCTTGGCCACCAGGGGAAGCGAAGGTCTAAAGAAGACTGCTCTCAGTAGTCAGAGGTGTTAGTGTCCCTACGTCCCAAGGCCTCCTCTCACCTACGGGAGCCTCAGAATCTGCGTCAGCTGCCCATGGCTGCTGCCTACACCCACCAGCCAACCAACCTTCTTACCAGGTTTAAAGGACAGAGCCTGCCTCCCCGACATGCTACAGAAAAACTGGGTTCATTCTAGTAACCACACAGAACTCAGACTAAAAGCTCTGGATTCATCAGGCCAGTGAACTCAAGGTAGTTTTTCCATTTGGAATAGCCTCTTACCAGGCATGCTGTGCCCACAGTCAGGCCTCCTTGACCCTTACCCCACACCACCCCGCCTGGCCTCTGGCCTGCTTAGGCGGGTGTTACAAAGCTCTTAGCTCTGCCAGTAAGCGCCTGGAGGCACCACCATAAACCTCAGTCTGAAGCTGCCCCACTCTCCTGCTGGTAAGGGCTGAGCCAAGCTGTGCCAGTCACTCAGACCACAAACCTTGAGCCTGGAAGCATTCGGCTCGCTTAGGCTGCAACAGCCCTGTGCAGTCTCATGCCTGGGTTCGCCACCACCGCTATGAGAAGTCTATAGTCTCCTTGGCCCATAGGCTCTCACCACAGGGACCCCAGGACCAGGGCCGGACTCTGCTCCCAGCTCTTCCTGGTGACGTTCCTCTCTGTTCTAGGACTGGCTTTTTTAAGGTGGCAAAACAAACCAGTCTTCTTGTTAGGATTCCATACACGTTTGCTTCAAAGGGCGCTCGTTTGGCCTCATGGGTAAAGAATTGTGCTTCCAACTGAAAGGCAGGTGCTTCAAATCCACCAGCTGCTTTTCAGAAGGATAGCCATTCTCTCGTGACGTACACCCTCTGGAACTTGAGACGGTCACTTTTGACTGGACAGGTGACGGTGTATTCGCATCTGCACGCCGTCTTGAGGCCCAGGTGCTCTGTTGGCATAGCCCCACCCACTCTGTCCAGTCGAGCAGCATGGAGGGAGAGAGGCGTCCACCACGTGGCCTTGTTCATTTTGTTATTTCTACCACCATTATTATCCCTTTGGCAGAGAGAGTTCCCAAATAGTTTTTAGAAAGGGGAAACCTAAATTTAGACACTGAAAAATAAAAGGCTAAAAATGAAATATTCCGACTCTTCTGAGCTGCTTAGAAGGAGGCAAGCTGGCATTGTGGCCTGGAGTTACAGCTCAGAACCTCCACTAGCGAGTCCGAGCCCAACTCCTGTTAGCCAAGAAAGCACTGGACCCTCTGCAGCTAAGGAAGGGGAGGGTGCCCAAGTTCAAGTACAGCCTTGTGCACTTCACCCAGAAAGGTAAACTTCATGGATTAGAGGAGGTGGCATATGCTTACGGGGCTGAATGGACCACTGACTACACTCCTGATTGGGCTGCCACTCTGGCCCAGCGCTGTGCAAGGGGACACGGGTTGACCGCCAGGAGCCCTCTGCTCACCTGCAGGGCGGACCTTGAAATGCCCCTTTAGAGTGTGGGGTCTCACAGGGCCTCTGCCCTCCAAGCAATGGACTGTCCAGTAGATGGCACACAGCGGCACGCCCTCGGAGGCCACGTTGAGCACTAAAGGGGAGAAGCGAGGAGCTCAGACTGCCTGTCTTGGTGACCAGAAGTTTCCAAGTCACAGTTTAAAGAACCCAAGTCAGGTGCAACCTTGGAAAGGCAGACCCCTCAACCTGGGGCAGAGGGGGGCGGCTGTCCGAAGGGAGGCCGAGGCGGGGAGGAGCCTCGGCGGGCCCCGGTGGCCCAGGCCCTGCCCCGCGCGGGCGGACACCGGGCTCCTCCCCGGGGGCCGCACTTCCCGGGCCGTCGCCATGGCCTCGCTGCAGCTGGAGGAGAAGCTGGCCTGCGCCATCTGCCTGGGGCTCTACCGGGACCCGGCGACGCTGCCCTGCGGACACAACTTCTGCATGGCCTGCATCCGGGACTGGTGGGCGCACGAGGTGCGGGAGTGCCCCGAGTGCCGCCAGCCCGTCCCCGAAGGCACCGAGCTCCGCCGCAACGTGGCCCTGAGCGGCCTGGTGGAGCTGGTGCGCACCGAGCAGGGCCGCGACCCGCCGGCCGGGACGCTGGGGGAGCCCGGGACCCCGCCGGCTGGAACCCCGCCGGAGCCCACCCCGGGCCCCACCGTGCCCGAGCGCAGCCCCCAGGAGCGGGCGCTGCTGGACACCGAGTGCCGCAAGCGCGAGGTGACACCGCTGTGAGGGGTGGGAGTGACGCGCCCAGAACAGGGAGGGCGCAGGGAGAATAGAGGGACCTGGACTCAGCCCCCCAGGGCGCTGGGCGGGAACTCAGCTTGGGGTGATGCACAGCCAGCCGTTAGAAACCCGCTGGAGTATAGCAGGTGTCCAGTAGACATTTCTTTGTGATTTTGAAACCAAAGTTTGCAGAGCACCTGCTGCATGTGCAGGGGCATCATTCTGGTTCACAGACTACCTAAGGGTCAGACAAGCACAGGACAAGGTGTTACTAACAGCCCAGCAGGGGGCCACTGTCCACCAGGGGACCTTCTTTACTCAGAAGCCAGCAGTGGGGTGACATTTAAGCTCCTGAAGCCGGGGAGCAGGTCCACAGAGAGCATTCTGCACAGAGGACGCTTTGGGGCCAGGGCTCCAAACCAGAAACTGGGGTTACTGGGCCACCATCCATGAGACTGAAGGCTGGGGGCGCTGAGGGTCAGCTGAGGTCAGGTCGCCAGGATCTATGTGTCGCTGGTTCTGCATCTGGGTCTAAGGGCAGTGGGGAGCCATTGCAGGCTCTAGGCAGACACAGAGGCGGTCAGATTCAGCCTTTATTTTTATTCTTTTTTTAAAATTCTTTTTTGTGTATATATCGTCAAATTGGTTCTGACCAGCACAGGAGGAGATCCTCCTCCTCCAGCAGAGCACCTGGTGGAACAGCATGCCATTTTCACTAACGGTTGTGTTGATAGTCTTCCTGTGTGGGTGTGGGTGTTACCCCAACATCGCGTTAGCGTATACCATTGAAAAACCAGACCCACAGCATAGTGGTTTCTGACTCAGTGACCCTCCATGGGTTTCTCATCATCCTTCAGTGATGGATTTGAACCACTGACCTCTCAGCAGCCCAACAGTGGCACCAGGGTTCCTTGCGGTAGCACTCTCATCTCGCTGTTGTGCTGGAACTGGAACCGACTCAGAGCCGGCCCTCCAGCAGGTTTTCTGAGGCTGTAAATAGCACAGGATGAGGCTGGTGGATTCGAACCACCAGAGGCTGCACTTGGAGGTGGCATTACAACTCCCTAAGACTCAGGCTTCCCTGCAAGAGCACAGAGAGGGTAGAAAAGCCCTAGGAAAGGGTGGGGACCTGCCAGCTAGACTCTGGGAACCCCAAGTGAGATAGGAGAGCTGGGGTGTGGCTTGGTGAACTGGTCGCAAGGGAGCATTGGTGGCACATCCCCCTCTGAGGACAGTCTGAGAAAGGACAGAAAACTGACCACCTCTGCTGGCGCAGTGCAGGTGGTAGGAGCCCTTGGCCCAGGCGTTTCAGCCAGGAAAGGGGCAGGCCGTGCCTGGTTAGTTCACAGCCACGACAGGGTGGGGCCGGGATATATGGCTTTCTCCAGGCTACACGGGGTCCTCCCCAGGGTGCCTAAGAAGGGGCACCAGTATCTTTGGGGGTTTGTCAGCTCATTGTGGGAGGCTGTGCCCATCCGGCCCTCTCTCCCATCTGCTCATCCCGTGGGTGGGCACACAGGTCCAGCTGAGAGCCACGTTGGAGGTGACCTCACAGCAAGCCGCCCAGGCCAAGGCTCAGCTCCAGCAGCTGCAGCAACAAAGCAGCCAGATCCAGGTACAGAGCCCGCACGGGGTCGCCCGCCATGCCTGCCTGCTGTGTCCTGCGGGCGGCCACTGTCTGCAGGCCGCTGGGATACCAGGCAGTCCCCTGATAGGAGAAAATGAGCTTAAGTACAAGGGCTCCCAGGGGCCCAGGCTCCCCACAGCCCCAACACTAGCCTAGTCAGTAGCCCTGGCTCTGCTCACCCAGCCTCCTCCTGTGCCCTCAGAGCTCTGCCTGCACCCTGGCCTCCGTGGTCTCCAGCAAGTTCAGTGTCCTCCTGCAGGCCTTGGAGATGCGCCGGGCCTTGGCTCTGAAGGACATTGACACAGCCAAGGCCCAGGCGCTGGCCAAGGCCAGGGCAGAGGAGCAGCGCCTGTCGCGCCACCTGGAGGCGCTGGCCCGCCATGACTGCAGGGCCCAGGAGCTCCTGCAGCAGCCGGACCACGGGACCTTCCTCCAGGTACTGAGCACAATTCCGGGCGGCAGGTGGGGAGCAGCTCCCTGTCCCTAACACCCGGGCTGATGGCACCTGTCCCTGAGATTCAGGAGTCACAGCTCCTGGTGCCCCCAGAGCCTCTTGGGCCGCTGACCACTCCCCCGTGGGATGAAGACCAGCAGCTGGGGGACCTGAAGGAGATGCTGAGTCATCTGGACGCCCTCCTGCTGGAAGAGGGGGACCCCCAGGGGGTGCTGGCGGAGGATGCTGACTTGTACCTCGTGGGTAGGGTAACTGAGAGGCCTCCCTGCCCCCTTCGCCCAGCTGTCCCTCCCACTGGGGATTGAGAGTGGGGTCAAAGCCCATCCTCCTTCTGCCGTCCCCTCCCTAACTGTCCCCTAATACCGCTTTGTCCCCTAGAGACTCCAGGTCCCCTGGTGCCAACCCCGGTGTGCCCACAGAGACAAGAACTCTGGCAAAGTAAGGAATTCCTGTGTGTGGGCGTGTGCAGCTGGGCGAGCACACATGCACACTCAGTGGTGTGTGTACACGTGCATGTTGTGCAAAGACTTCATGTGCCTGTGTGTGCACATTCTGTGAGCATGTGTGCAGTCTGTCGTGTGCACATGTCTGTGTCACATGTGTGCACTGTTAAGGGCTACATGTATTTATATGCTCATGCATGTTAGCACGTGGGGTACCAATCCAGATCATAGCAGTTTGACTGCCTCAACACGGTTCTGTGTGGCCTGTGCGCGATCACATCCAATTTTGGACCCAACAAAGCAGTAAGATTGGTGTTGAGATGAATTGAAAGAGGTACAAGAGCGTGGGGGGCATGTTTGACCTCATGGGAATTGGTTTTGTATTGTTGATGCTGTTGACAGGGACAGTTCTCCTTTGTGAAGTCGGTAAAGGTCCGATATCACAGTCCCTACGTGGCCTTCACTCTTTCTACAGCATGCAAGCATGTGCACACACAGTTACATTGTCTTTACATACGTGAATGCATATATGTGCAGTGGACAAAGACGATGTGTAAATGTGCTCACATATGAACACGTGTACAGGTTATTGCGTGCATGTGTGTTTGCACACGCACGTGTGTTACTTTGTAAGGAGTGTATGTTCATGTGTCTGTATACACATGTAGAGGATATTGTATGCACATGCCTCACGTGCCCTGTGTGTGAACACACGTGCATGTACATGCATGCACTGAGTGTGTACACGTGCGAATCCATGAGTATCACATGCTGTGACTGTGTCTGAGAGGTCCTTTCCTCGACCCTTCCCTGGGCCAATCCCACTGGCCCGCACATGTGTCTTGGGAGTGACCCATTCGCTCCCAAGGTTGCACTGCAGATTCCACACTGATTGGGATCCAGTGCGCCATGTGCCTGGTGGCCACTTAGCAATTGGTCAGTGACAGCTGCCTTGGCTCCCGTCTCCCACTGTCCTCGGCCACTGACCTCTGTCCGTCTTTTCCACAGATTACTGCAACCTGACCTTCGACCCTGAAAGTGCCAATCGCCACCTCCACCTGTCTCGTGAGAACCGGCGGGTGAAGCACCGGCGGTGGCCACGGAGCCAGTTCAGCCCAAGCAGCTTCAAACTGTGGCAAGTGCAGTGTGTCCAGAGCTTCCAGGCTGGGCGGCACTACTGGGAGGTACATACTTCCAACCACTCGGTGACCCTAGGGGTCACCTACCCAGAACTAGCGAGGGATAAGCAGGGGACCCACACAGACAACATCGGCCGTGGGCCCTGCTCCTGGGGACTTTGCATCCAGGAGGACTGCACGCAGGCCTGGCACAACGGGGAGGCCAGGCGCCTTCCGGCAGTGACTGGCCACCTCCTGGGTGTGGATTTGGATGTAGCCTCAGGCCGGCTCACCTTCTACAGTCTGGAGCCCCAGGTCCAGCCCCTGCACACCTTCCATGCTGTCTTCACCCAGCCCCTCCACGCTGTCTTCTGGCTCCTCGAGGGCAGAACACTTACCCTGTGCCATCGGCCCAGAGCCAGCCACCTTCCAGACTCCCAGGGCTCCCAGGAAGGGGCCTCAGAGCTCATCCAAGACCCCTGCTGACCCAGCACCTAGGCTGAGAACTGTGGTCACAGCTGGAACAGGACCAGTTATAGGCCAAAGACTGGACATGGTCCAGTGGGTTGTTAATGTGAGTCTGAGTGTCTAAGGTTTATCATTCACATGCCTTTCCTAGTCAGTCATGAACTGTGTATTTTGTGCTGAAGTCATTATTATACTAAGGAAAGAGGATTGTCCTGGCTGTTTGTCCTGACCTCTGAACTTAACAAGGATCCCGGGCGGCTGAGGGCTCTGTGTATTAGGCTGCTACCTCAGAGGTCACCAGCTCTCTCATCTACACCCTCTTACAGCTGCTGGGCTTCTGTGAGGCACAGGAGCATGGATGCACAGGGGACAGGGACTTTACGGGCCAGTGGCATTGGGGGGAGATGGAGTGGATGCTGGAGAAGTAGCAGAAGGTTTGGAGAGGAACCAAATGGTAGCTAGGAATCGTGGCTTCACCTGGTAGAGAGGGGACACCAGAGCTATGAATCTGGAGGACATTAGGCTGAGTGAACTAAGTCAGTCGCAAAACGACAAACACTGTATGATACAATTCTTCATAAAAAGTCAAGAATATATTTATGCACATGAAGCAACATTCTTTGGTGGTTATGAAAGGGGGAGAGGAAGAGTTATTTGCTAGGTACCCCCGATCAGTCCGGTGAAAGGAAGTCCTATACAAGTCGGTGCCGGAGGGCACATAGGAGTCCATGTGCCTCTGAGTTGGAACCAGCCCGTAGCTAGAGCCAGAGGATTTTTCAAAGGCAGTAAATTTCAGGAGGAGATTGCACATCTTTCTCCCATGGAGTAGCTGGTGTGTTTGAACTGTGCACCATTGTGTTGGTAGCCCAATTCCTTACCACTAGAGCCATCAGAACTCCATGTGATCCTGTGGTAGAGTAGTCTAAGGTGATAGGTTGGAATCCCATCACTTTCAATGGAATGTTTAAATGTGGTCATAAATCCCAATTTTTTTCCAAGGGGCTATTGCCCTAAATTGACTTTTAACTTCCTTTCAGTCAAATAATGGATTGGCCTATAAAATAAACAACAGTGCCTTTGAAGAAAGTGCTTTTTAGAACAATCGAATAAAGGAGACCAAGCAGGTAACATTTGCTGCTAAGTAAAGACAGAACAATTTCAGGAAGTACATGTGAACCTCACTTAGGGCATGTGGCCAGGAGAGACCAGTCGTCAAAAAAGGACATCATGCTTTGCAGAGTGATGGACAGTGCAGAAGAGAAAGACCCTGGATGGGATGGATTGATACAGTGACTGGAGCAATGGGGGCTGATGTGTCGGAATTAGTGAGACTGGCTCAGGACAGGGAAGGGTCAGAGCTGCTGTACATAGGGTCGCTGTACATCGCAGGCAACTCAGTGGCACATAACAACAGTAACATACTATGACAGGTTTGGAAGCAGGAGTGGCATCCACTTCCTAAACAACATGCCTCTGGAACCCCTATGAACTTTGATAAATGTTGATGGTTGTAGAGGGGCTTCAGGCCTTTGGTCCATAGGGTCAGTATGAGTCATGCTCAACTCAAAGGCAATCAACAACTACAACCGTATGAACAGGAGCCAATGGTAATGAAAGAGGAAGTGGAAACTGCATTGAAGGCATTATCAAAAAATAAGGCCCCAAGAGTTGATAGGATACCAATTCACTTGTTTCAGTTAACTGATGCAGCCTCGGATGTACTCATCAGCCTATGCCAGGAAATTTGGAGGACAGCTGTCTGGCCAATGGATTTGAAGAGGTCCCTATTTGTTCCTATTCCCAAGAAGGGTGATCCAACAGAATGTGGAAATTATCAAAAAATATCATCAATATCACATGCTAGAAAAATACTGCTGAAGATCATTTAAAAAAGGCTGGAACAGTACACAGATAGAGCATTTCCAGAAGTTCAAGTGGGATTTAGAAGAGGCTGTGGCACCAGGGATATCAGTACTGCTTTCAGATGGATCCTGGTTGTCTATCTGTCTGTTTGTGCTTTATTGACTTTGCAAAGGCGTTTGACTGTGTGGATCACGACAAGTGTGGCTGACATTGAGAAGAATGGGAATCCCAAAGCACTTGTTTGTGCTCATGAGGAACTTATACCTGGACCAGAAGGCTCTTGTGAGAACGGAGCAGGGAAACACTGCATGGTTTGGAATTGGGAAGGGAGTGAGTCAGGTATGTATTCTATCTCCATAACAGTTCAATCTATATGCTGGGCAAATTATCCAAGAAGCTGTACTCTATGAAGAGGAATGTGGCATCAGGATTGGAGGGAGACTCATCAACAACCTGTGTTATGTAGATGACACAACTTTACTTGCTTAAAGTGAGGAGGATTTGAAGTGTTTGTTGCAAAAGATCAAGGACTGCAGCTTTCGGTATGGATTGCATCTCAATATCAAAAACCAGATTCTTAGCACTGGACCAATAGGCGGTGTCCTGATGGATGGGGATGAGATTGAAGCTGTCAACAGCTTCATCTTGCTTGGATCCACAATTAACATCCTTGGTATGAGCAGTCAGGACATAAGGAGACACATGGCACTGGGGAAAGCTGCAGTTAGGGACCCTTCCAAATGATTGAGAAGTACTGATGTCAGTGTGAGGACTAAGGTATGTCTGATTCAGGTCACGGTCTTTCTGATTACTAGCTACACATCTGAGACCTGGACGGTAAATAAGGATGACAGAAAAAGAATTTATGGCTTTGAGCTGTGGAGTTGGAGAAGAGCACTGACCATTCCATGGATGGCCAAGAAAACGAATAGATATGTCTTAGAGACGGTGCAGCTGTGACGCTCTTTGGAGGCAAGAATGATGAGGCTTCGTCTCACGTACCTTGGGCATATTGCTAGGAGGGGCTATTTCTTGGAGAGGAACATGATGCTGGGAAGGGCGGAGGGTCGGTGAAGGAGAGGAAGACCCGTGACCGGGTGGATTGACACGGTGACTGCTGCAGTGGGCGCTTGTGTGTCAGGAAGTGTGAGGACGGCGCAGGACAGCACGGGGTTCAGATCTTTTGTTCACAGGGTCGCTGTGAGTCATACTCGCCTCGATGGCACAACAACAACAACAACAAAGGAAAGGAGGGGCAGGGAAGCTGGAGGGATGGAAAGAGGGAGGGCAGCGTGGCAAGGGGGAGGGTGCTGGCACGTGTCCTCTGTGGTGACAGCAGCCGATGTCTTGGAACACTTTATGGGTCATGTTTAGTGGCTCCACCTAAAACACAATGAAATGTTCAAAACAAAAACAAAGAAACCCAAACAAAGCCAGGAATGGCTTTTTAATGATTTTCATTTGCTCGGCTACTTGTTTCCAGTCTACATTTGGGTTTTTTTTTTAAAGTGGTACTAAAGCCAGGCAAGGGAACTCTGGTGTCCTAGTGGTAACAAGCTGTGCTGCCAATCCAAAGGCACACGGTTCGAATCTACCAGCTGCTCCGTGGGAGGTAGATGGGTAGTCTCCCGTGCACAGCGTTGTAGGCTCAGCCTGCACTTCCTGGGATTGAATTCTGCCTCCAAGTGGGACCAGCTACGTGACCTGAGCAAGCTGGTGCTGTGGAAGGCCCCCTACCATCTGTCATAGACTGAATTGTGGCCCCCAAAATATGTGTTCTACATTCCAGCCCTCTAAGCTTGTGGGAAGGAGATCTGCCTTCTGCTGGCACTTGGTTAAGCCCTTACCTGCTAGTCAAAAGCTTGGGAGCTCAAACCCACTAGTGACTCCAAGTGAGAATGGTGTGGTATTCAAAGAGAAAAGAAACTTCCAGCTTTCTGAGGCCACAAATCATACCAGGAGGAAACTGTCCATCATTCTCACAACAACTG